TTTTTTTTTTTTTTTGTAAAGTTTTTATTTAAATTCCAGTTAGTTAACATACAGTGTATTAGTTTCAGGTGTACAATATAGTGCTTCAGAAATTCCACATATCACTCAATGCTCATCACAAGTGCACTCCTTGATCACCATCACCTATTTAAACCATCCCCCCACCCACCTCCCTTCTGATAACCATCAGTTTGTTCTCTATAGTTAAGAGTGTTTCTTGGTTTGCCTCTCCTTTGCCCTTTGCTGGTTTCTTGTTTCTTCAATTCCGCATAGGAGTGTAATTACATATTTGTCTTTGACTTATTTCACTTAGCAATATACCCTTTAGATCCATCTACATCATTGCCAATGTCAAGATTTCATTCTTTTCTATGGCTGAGTAATATTCCATCGTATATATATACACATACCACATCTTCCTTACCCAGTTATCAACTTATGAATACTTGGGTTCTTTCCATATTTTGGCTATTGTAAACAATGCTGCTATAAACATTGGGGTGCATGTATCCCTTTAAATTAGTGTTTTCGTATTCTTTGGGTAAATTCCTAATAGTGCAATTGTTGGACCATAGGGCAGTTCTATTTTTAATTTTCTGAGGTACCTCCATACTGTTTTTAACAGTGGCTGCACCAGTTTGCATTCTTGTCAACAGTGCAGGAGGGTTCCCCTTTCTCCACATCCTTGCCAACACCTGTTGTTTTTGTTCTTGAGTTTAGCCATGCTGACAGGTGTGAGGTGATAGCTCACTGTAATTTTGATTTGCATTTCTCTGAGAAGAGACGTTGAGCATCTTTTCATGTGTCTGCTGGCCATCTAGATGTCTTTTTGGAGAAATGTCTAATCAGGTCTTCTGCCCATTTTGTAATTGGATTTTTGGGGGAGGGGGTGTTGAGTTTTACAATTTCTTCATATATTTTGGATAGTAACTCCTCATCGAATGCATCATTTGCAAATATCCTATTCAGTAGGCTGCCTTTTAGTTTTGTGGTTTCCTTTGCCGTGCACCTTTTTCTTTTGATGTAGTTCCAATAGTTTATTTTTGCTTTTGTTTCTCTTACCTCAGGAGATCTATCTAGAAAAAAAAGTTGCTACAGCTGATATCAGAGAAATTACTGCCTATGCTTTCTTCAAGGACTTTTATGGTTTCAGGTCTCACACTTAGGTCTTTAATCTATTTTGGATTTATTTTTGTGTATGGGGTAACAATGCAGTCCAATTTCACTCTCTTGCATGTTGCTGTCCAGTCTTCCCAACGCTATTTTTCCCATTGGATATTCTTTCCTGCTTTGTTGTAGATTAACTGACCATGTATTTGTGGGTTCATTTCTGGGTTTTCTATTCTGTTGTAGTGACCTATGTGTCTATTTTTGTGCCAGTACAATACTATTTTGTTTGTTACAGTTTTGTAATATAACTTGAAGTCCAGAATTATGATGCCTCCAGCTTTGAGGGCTATGTATATTTAGCAGCAAAGTCCCTGTCCTCATGCAGCTTACATTCTAGTGCATATGAATTCTGGCATGCACACCATTATACTTGTGTTAAAGGCCAGACCAAACTCTATTCCTAAGTGCTATCTAAGTGCTTCTGAACAAAGACGTATCACACCACTTAAGGGTTCTCCACTGTGTGATCTGGTGAAAACCGAGATAGGTTCAATTATTGCTTCAATACCAACTAAACCAAACAAGTATTTTCTCTCTTATGAGACTCGATGATGGTAAGAATTCAGGGTTTCACACAACGTCATTTTGGAGAACTTCTTTCCACACACAATTCCTTCATGTTCTTACCACTCTTGTTACCTTCATAAACCGTACTGCCACCATGAGTTTTGCGATGATGTGAAAGTTTGGATCGCCAACGGAAGCTCTGACCACAGGTCTCACACTTGTAAGGGGTCTCCCCTGTGTGAACTCTCTGATGAGACTGTAGCTGTGAAGAGTGGCGGAAGACCTTGCCGCACACATCACATTTGTACGGTTTCTCCTCACTGTGAACACTCTGATGAACCTTAAGACTTGAGGCCTGACTGAAGTGCTTACCACACTCCCCACACTTGTAGGGTTTCTCTCCCGTGTGGACCCTCTGATGCATGTCCAGATTCAAGCTCCACTTGAAGCCCTTCCCACACTCCTCACACTTGTATGGCTTTTCTCCAGTGTGCACTTTTTGATGGGCTTGCAGGTGTGAACTGCGACCAAAGCTCTTCCCGCACTCTGCACACTTGAAAGGTTTCTCTCCGCTGTGGATTCTCTGATGCGCCAGAAGATTTGCGGCCTGCCTGAATACTTTCCCACACTCCTCACAATTAAATGGTTTCTCTCCAGTGTGGATTCTGCAGTGAATTTTGAGATCTGCTCTACGATTGAATCCCTTCCCACACTCTTCACATTTGTGTGGCTTCTCTCCGGTGTGGATCAGCTGGTGAATCTGAAGTCGGGAACTCTGATTGAAGCCCTGCCCGCATTCCTCACACTTGTAAGGTTTCTCTACACTGTGCGTCTTCAGATGGGACTGAAGATATGCTCTCTGACTGAAGTCCTTCCCACATACTTCACATTTATAGGGTCTCTCTCCCGTGTGTACCACCAGATGAACCTGGTAACGGGTTTTCGTCCCGAAGTTCTTTCCACACTCGTTGCATTTGTATGGTTTCTCTCCTGTGTGGACTCTCTGATGTGCCTGAAGATTTGAACTCATAGTGAAGCCTTTACCACACACTTTGCATACATATGGTTTCTCACCAGTATGGATTCTCTGATGGGCCCGAAAATGAGAAGGCTGAATGAAGCCCTTCCCACACTCCTCACATTTATAAGGTTTCTCTCGCGTGTGGCCCTTCTGATGGATGTGAAGATTTGTGCTACAAAAGAAACACTTCCCGCACTCCTCACATTTGTACAGTTTTTCTCCCGTGTGGACCATACAATGACTATTAAGTGATGATCTACGACGAAAATTCTTACCACATTTATCACATTTGAAGGGTTTCTCCCCGGTGTGGATTCTCTGATGTTCCTGAAGATGGGAAGCATGAATGAAGGCCCTTCCACATTGGTCACAACGATAAGGTTTCTCTTCCATGTGCAATTTATAATGAACATTAAGTGCTGATCTACGACAGAAGCCATTCCCACACTGCTCACATTTGAATGGCTTCTCTACGGTGTGGACTTTCTGATGAGTTTGCAGGCATGAGCTCTGACTGAATTCCTTCCCACACTCATCACATTTATAGCGTTTCTCTCCCAGGTGAACTCTCTGATGAATATGAAGTGCTGAACTGTAACAGAAGCTTTTTCCACACTCACGACATGTGTGAGACTTCACTCCTGTGTGTACTTGTTGATGAAGATCAAAGTTGGAGACATCACTGAAATATTTCTTAAATTCACTGCACTGATCAGGTTTCTGACCTGTGTGAGTTTCAGTTAGTCTGGCCCCAACCTGTCCAGGTGAATCACCTTGTTTGGGGAACTGAGAACTCTTTATCATGGAGCCTTCACACTGGGTTAAGTCACTTGCAATCTGTTGCCAGATCTGCCAGCAGGAAAGCTCTTTGTGTGGTTCTGTTTCTAAAACAGTCTTCATTTTATTTTGGATCTTTCCTCCTGTAAAGACAGAGAATGCAGAGATGTGGACAACTGAAGGCTTTGTTCAGTATTTTCAAGATTTCACATTTAGGAGAGACCGTAAGACTTTACTGAACCCAGAGAATGTCCAGTCGGTCTTTTCCACCATGTATCAGAGTCTCTGATTTGCAGGTGTAGGGAACACCGGAGGGGGGCCAGTGGGCTCCTAATCACTAAGCCCATATTCCCTCCCCCCGCCCCCCATCAACCCTCAGTTTGTTCTCTGTATTTAAGAGTCTCTTATGGTTTGCCTCTATGGCCATTTCTATTGAATTTGAAAGTCAGTGTAGAATATTGAATAGAAAATTATGTAGTTAATAAGTTATGTAGTTAGAAAAGTTATATAGATAATATCAATCAATTAGAACTTAAAGAAAAGCAGTAACACAACCAAATTTTGGATTTATTATATGTCCTAATACCAAATACCTTGAAATATTTATATTTCTATATTCAAAGTATTCCTGGAAATTCTGCACATGTTCACCTAACTTTATCTTTCTGTGTTGACAGACATTAAATGGGTTGGCTACTATTACAAACTTTTGACCACCTTTAATAACTTAAGTTCAGAAATGTGTTTTCTAAAACATTTACCCCATTCACATTCCCAAGTCTCTGTATTTACATAAAGATTATCTAAACATTTGAAGATTATTTTTTCAATAAACTTTTCAAAAAGTACTTTTCTTAAAACTCAACAATAAGGAAAAAGAACCTGATTAAAAAATGGACCAAAGACCTTCCTAACATCGAAGAGGATCGGGGCGCCTGGGTGGCTCAGGTGGTTAAGCGTCTGACTTTGGCTCAGGTCATGATCTCATGGCTCGTGGGTTCGAGGCCCACGTCGGGCTCTGTGCTGATGGCTCAGAGCTTGGAGCCTGCTTCAGATTCTGTGTGTCTCTCTCTGCCCCACCCCCGCTCATGCTCGCTCTCTCTCTCTCTCTCTCTCTCTCTCTCAGAAATAAACATTAAAAAAAAAAAACCATTGAAGAGGAGCTACAGATGGCGATAAGTGTATGACAAGATGCTTCCCATGTTATTTTATGCAAATCCAAACACCAAGATACCATTACACATGTATTAGAATGGCCAAAATCTAGAACACCAACACCACCAGTGCTGGCCATGACGTGGAGCACCAGGAACTCATTCATCACTGGTAGGAATACAAAATAGTATAGACACTTTGGAAGACAGTTTGGTGGTTTCTTACAAAACTAAACATACCCTTACCATACTCTCCCACTACCGCACAGTTTGCTATTAACCAAAGGGAGCTGAAAATGTACGCCCACACAGAAATCTATACACAGACAAAACCTGGACAAGGTTTATTCACAAGGACCGAACTTTGAATGAACCAAGATGTCCTTCAGTAGGCGGACAGATAAAAATTCACTGTGGTACATACACACAATGGAATATTATTTGGTGCTAAAAAGAAATGAGCTACTAATCCATGAAAAGATATGGAGGAAATGTAAATGCGTATTACTAAGTGAAAAAAGCCAAACTGAAAAGTATGAGTCCAACTATATGACATTATTGAAAAGGTAAAAGTACGGAGACAGTAAAAAGATCAATGGTGGTTAAGGGTTAGAGGGGAGGGATGAACGGGCAGAGGACAGAGGATTTTTTAGGGCAGTGTAACTACTCTATATAATACTATAAAGATGGATATGTGGCTTTATCCATTTGTCCAAGTCTATATAATGTATGATACCATGAGTAAACCCTAATGTATACTCTAGACTCAGTGACAATGATGTGTCCATATAGGTTCATCAATTGTATCTGGTGGGAATACTGATCATGTAAGAGGTGAGTGTGTGGGGGTAGGGGATATATGGGATATCTCTGTCTCTTTCGTTCAATTTTGCTGTGAACCTAAAACTGCTCTAGAAAGATAGTCTTTGAAAACACTGCTGAAGAAATGTTTAAAAGGGAAATTCACTCGCCTCCCCGTATGAATAGTCAATTAAAAGCTGCCCCCGTTTCGATCCACTAGACGTGTGGGAAACAGCCTCTACAGAGCCCTGCCTTGGGTCACTTTATTGGAAAGTTACTTCAGCGTCCAGGTGACCTGGAATATCTAGAATGACTTGCGGGTTTGGGAGCAAATACCTAATGGCACACTGACTAAAACATAGCATAAAGCAGACAGCAGAACTTTATCTTCTACGGGCAAGTTTCCTTCGTGAGGACAAAAGGGAAATAAAGTTGAACAGAAAACATACATGGTTCTAAAACCTGATGGTAATTCAGAGCTCTAGAAAAAAAGTAAAAACAACAGAGACAGAGCCTGGGAAAAGGAAAAGATGAGGTTATGGTGTAACCTCCGAAAACCAGCCCAACTGCGGGAGTCTGATCTTGCCAGGAACACTTCCTGGACAGACACATGGATGATTCCTCATGACTTGTAGGTCTCTGCTCAAAGTCAGTCCAGCAACAAGCCACTTTACGGCCCAGAGTAAAATAATCAGCCCTGTCTGCCCCCAGTTCACCTCTGGCAACTCCCATCCTTCTTTATGTTCCATGCACCCCTCTCACCATGTGACTTGCTAGGTCATCTGTCGGGCACCATATGTCTTTCCCACCACAATGCAGCACCAAGGAGGGAAGCATGTTATACCTTGTACGGTGAACACATTTTACACTTTCCGACTTTATTACCAATGTCCAGAACTCTGCCTGGAGTGTGGAAAGTACTCCACAAGTGCATGTTAAATGAAATAAATGAATCCTGGTTCAGCTATTCTGGTGAGAGTTGAAGCCACACCCTAGAAAGAAAATATCTTTTCCAGGTAAGTTATTTGATACAGGAAAGGGAAAGAATATTGCAGTTTTGCTGGGAAGCTGAAAAGCTGCACAGGGGACATCGAGAGACAGGGGTACCTCAACCAGGATGCTAACAAAAACAATAAAAGGTGGCAAGTGTCTCTGGGGTGAAAAGAAAGGAAGGCCTATTGCTGGTTCCTTCTGAAGCTTTAGGACTATCTCTGTGATAACAGGATGTGGAAGAACTGTGGATGTATGGATGTGTGGATAACATAACCCACCACAACAGTTTTTCAAACTCGAAAACTTTCGAGACTCTAGTAAGCTGGAAAGATTTAAAAGCTTGTAATAAGCTCTCAGAAAAAAGACCCAGGACAGCAACTATCAGAGCATCACTGCCAACAGGACAGGTGTCATTATTCGAAATGCCTGTGAAAGTCACATATAAATCTGCAACATGCAAAATGTTCTGGTTACAATGAAAGATGTGTTTCTTACTATGGCTCACTCTTGGGAAGACTCAGAAACTTTGCTTCTACAAGTTACCCAGTCCCTAATTAAATTGTTCAAATGGAAAGATAAGTTACTAGAATCTTGGGAAAACGCTAATAGGTGAGTATGTACTTTTTGGTGGGTAATTCCGTTTATGGTTATATTTAACAAACCGACCCCTAAAAGGAGGAGTTGTGTGAGGGGAACAGGGAGCCTCTCTGAGGATGTTGACAATTTTAAGCAGGAAATTTCCTGATTCTTTCTACGTCAGAATGTTCACTAGTTGAAGGGCACCTGGGTAGCTCAGTTGGTTGAATATCCGACTTTTGATTTTGGCTCAGGTCATGATCCCAGGGTCACGGGATCGAGCCCCGTGTCTAGCTCTATGCTAAGCATGGAGCCTATGTAAGATTCTCTCTCTCTCCTCTCTGCCCCTCTCCCCTACTTGCTCTCTCTCGGTCTAAAATTAAAAAAAAAAGTTCTAATTAAAACACAATGAATGTTTACTAATTGAAAAGCACCAAATCTTCATTTAAAAAATCGGGGAAAAACTGTATGAAATCTATATTCTTTCACATTTGTTTAATGGCTAACTTTGTAGAAAATAAAAAGCATGATCTATTTTTGAACCAGATGCAGGCAGCATTCGGGTATGTGTCTCCTATCGTTCTCACCTTAAATCTTCCCCTCCGAGGACAGGGAAGGGGAAACCTGGAGGCAGTAACGTGGGTGGGTGCTTTGAAAGAGGCAAATGGGCTGCAGATGGCAACTCTTCAAAAGGAAGGCAGCTTGCAACCTGGCTGATATTGCCTGATACAGTAGAAGAAACATATAGAAGAAGAAAGAGGAAACATATCTTTCTTCCTTCTGTTGGGGGATCTGAGAACAGGACATCAGAATCCTCATTCCAGGGGCGCCTGGGTGGCTCAGTCAGTTAAGCGTCCGACTCTTGATTTCGGCTCAGGTCTCGATCTCATGGTTCATGAGTTTGAGCCCTGCATCAGGCTCTGTGCTGACAGTGCGGGGCCTTCTTGGGATCCTGTCTCCCTCTCTCTGCCCCTCCCTGGCTTGCTCTCTGTCTCAAAATAAATAAAAATAAATTTAAACACAAAACCAAAACCAAAAAAAGAGATGCTTAACCGACTGAGCCACCCAGGTGCCCCAAGCATCTGGCTCTTGATTTCAGCTCAGGTCGTTATCTCATGGTCATGAGATCAAGCCCTGCATCAGGCTCAGCACTGGGTGTGGCGCCTGCATGAGATTCTCTCCATCCTCCTGCCCCTCTCCCCAGGACACACATGCTCTCAAAAAAAAAAAAAAAGAAGAATTGTCATTCCAAAAGTATTCTTCCCAGAAATGAAAATGCTCCCCTGAGGTGCCTGGGGGGCTCAGTCAGTTAAGCTTCTGACTTCTGCTCAGGTCACGATCTCACTGTCTGTCAGTTTGGGCCCCGTGTCAGGTTCTGTGCTGACAGCTCAGAATCTGGAGCCTGCTTCGGATTCTGTGTCTCCCCCTTTCTCTGTTCCTCCCCTGCTCATACTCTGTCTCTTTCTCAAAAATAAACAAACATTAAAAAAAAATTAAAAAAGAAAAAAAAAAAAGAAAATGCTCCCCAACAGAAGGTTCCAAGAAAGCCACAGAGCACAGAGACAAAGCATGTTACTCAGTATGACCACAAGCACAATGCCTACCAGTTGCCCTGGGACACGGGTCAAGTGCATATACCCAAACACACTTTCATGCCAAGGGTACCCAAGAAAGTAACAAACAGAAAGAAACTGGATAGGCATTCATCAGAAAACAAACAATGTTCTGCAACATCCTTCCTTCGCTCTGGTTTGCACACGACCTATAGCTATCTCCAGGACCCATGGACACGTGGAGGTCTCCCTTCCATTAACACATTCACAAAGTCAATACATGCTTCCAGACACCTGCCACATACCAGACGATTCTAGGCACTGAGAATAGAGCAATGAACGAAAGAGGCAAAATCCCTTGCTGGGGGGGGGGGGGGGGGGGGGGCAGGGATCAAACTCCAGCGGGGACAGAGAGGAGATGAACAAGCAAACAAAAATGTATGAGGCACAACATAAGGCAGAACAAGAAAAGTAAAGAGGGTGATGTTTTACTTAAGTTGGTCAGAGAAGGCCATTCCTGTGACATTAAAACCAAGCAGACACAGGAAGGGAGGAAGGAAGGAGGGAAGGAGTGAAGGGACAAAAGGATTTCAGGCAAAAAAATATGTCAGAGAGAGCCACAGAGAGTAAGTAAGGGCTCTGAGGCAGAAGTACGTGTAGTAGGGAGATTAACTGGCTCCGGAAGAATCCACGTCCTGATTTTTGGAGCCTAAAATACGTTAAGTATATGACAAAGAGGAATTAAGGCTGCAGATGGAAATTAAGGCTGCTAATCAGCTGACCTTAAAATGGAAGACTATTTTCTATTGCCCAGGTGGACTCAAGGCAATCAAGAGGATCCTTCAAAGTGCAAGAAAGCTACGGAAGAAGGGCGGAGGAAGGCAATGCGACCACAAGAGAACGGGCAGAGAGAAGCAGGGTGCTGGCAGTGAAGACGAAAGAAAGGGGCCGTAAGTTCAAAAACGGGGGGTAACCTCTAGAAGCTGAAAAAGACACAGATCCTCCCCTAGAGCCTCCAAAAAGAAATGCAACTGTGCAGACATCTCAACTGTAGCCTGGTTAAAAACCATGCCACGCTTCTGACCCAGAGAAGCGTAATCAACCGTGTTGCTCTAGGCCATGAAGTGCGTGGCAGTTTGTTCCGGCAGCAGGCGCTAGAGCGTCCCTGGCAGGTCTGGGAGCCCCGAGGGGCATGGTGTGGGTGGACGAGGCGGAGCAAGAGGAAGGGGACGGGCGAGGTATTCAGAGAGGAAGTGGGGGACGGGGAGCACACCATGGAGGACTCAAGCCACTTCGAGAGGTTTCAACTCCGGGAAAAATAAGCCCCAAAGGGTCTTGAGCACAGGAACGGGGCTCTGACTTCCAGTTCCTACGGATCACACGGGCTGCTACGCGGAGAACAGACAAACAAGAGGAAGCGTGGAAACAGGCAAGCGGCTGAAAGGATTCAAGAAACAGCTTAGAAGTTTGGACCAGGTGACAGCAAAGGGGGCGGAAAGAAGCGAAGACACACAGGAGAACACCTACGAGGACTCCCACCTGCTTGGCTCTTACCTGATTTCTCTCGTCTGTGGCTTGCTAGCATCATCCAAAGTGTTTTTACCTTCTCTAAGCGGAATGTATCATGTTTGAAGAGGCGGGGCTTTGTGAGCATGCAAAGTCCGTATTTAAAACGAACACATTAGGGGCGCCTGGGTAGCTCAGTTGGTTAAGGATCTAACTTTGGCTCAGTGCATGATGTCATGGTTTGTGAGCTCGAACCCACTTCAGATCCCCTCTCTCCTTCTCTCTGCCCCTCCCCCACTCATGTGCTTGAGCACACATGCTCTCTCTCTCAAAACTAGAAAGACATTTAGAAATAAATAGAACGCACACACTAAAGGTACAATCAACGGAACATTTGGATTCCTGCACATACTGATCAATTAATCAAAACCAGCATTTTTCAAACATTTTTAAAAACATGGCCCATATTGGTGCACCTGGGTGGCTCAGTCGGTTAAGCCTCCAACTTCGGCTCAGGCCATGATCTCGCGGTTTGTGGGTTCGAGCCCCGAGTCAGGCTCTGTGCTGACTGCTCAGAGCCTGGAGCCTTCTTCGGATTCTGTGTCTCCCTCTTTCTCTGCACCTCCCCCGCTCACACTCTGTGTCTCTCTCTCAAAAATAAACACTAAAAAAAAAATTAAAAAAACAAACAAACAGGCCCGTATTTCAAGACCCAGACATACATGCAGAAACGTGCATTACAAGCACCTATTTCTAACCAATGTCTATTTTCACTAAATCTCCCACTGGGCTCCTACACCACTGACAAAATTGGCGGGAGATCTTGCTGCAATATATTCTGTTCTAATAAACTGAGATTTTCCACTTTATGTTATTAAAAATTGTTAGTACACCATAAATACAAGGGACCATTTCAAGACCCCCCAAAGCTTTGAACACACAAACACACAAAGCCAATCCAGGAAGCTGACACTGAGTCACAGAGCGCCTGTCCTCACCCAGAGAGAGCAGGTTCCGGAAGTTCTCCAGCATCACGTCTCCATACAGCTTCTTCTGGGCGGGGTCAAGCAGCCCCAGCTCCTCCTCCGTGAAGACCACAGCCACGTCCTTGAACGTCACTGCCTCCTACAACACCAAGCACATATAACCTCAATCTCGCACCCAAAGGCCACTGGGAGCGGGGCAGCACGGAAAAGCTGGAGAGGATGGTGGGACGTAGTTCCAGAGTGTGAGGGACTCAAGTCCATCTGTAGGCTTCCAGGCGCTTCTCCTTCTACCTTGCCAATGCCACGGTGAGTTTCGTCAGCCTCACCAAAATGTGTGGCAATGACAACGTCCTTGTGTTTTTGTGTCCTCGTGGAGTCTACTTACAACGTCCTTGTGTTTTTGTGTCCTCGTGGAGTCTACTTACAAGTAACCGCCAAAAACTCTAAACACGCATCCTGGACAACACACGTTTTACTTCGCGACGCGTGGTGCTGACTGCCCCAGAAGCATTCAGCAATTTAGTTCAAGTTTGACAACACCCACATTCTTCCTCTCTCACACACACACGAACCCTATCACTTTGCTTTCACATGTGCCACTAACGAGCTTTTCCTACCCTCGTGGGACAGCTACGTGGTTCTCCCATGTAATGTTCAGCATCATGTTCCGGAGCCAGCAGGCCTCAGTGCGATTCCCAAGGGCCTGTGCCTTACTAGCTGTGTGACTTTGGACAAGTCTGTCCATGTCCCTGAGTTTCTTCTCCGTATGTGGTCCTTCTGTGACAGAGTTCCTTCAAGGATTAAACAAGGGAATATCCCTAACACTTGGAACAGTGCATGGCACAGAGTAAGTGCCTAACAGACCTTTATTATTCATATTATTTCTTCACGTTGCCATTATCAACAACTATCTCATCAGGGCACCCGGGTGGTTCAGCTGGTTAGCGTCCAATCTTGATTTTGGCTCAGGTCATGATCTCAGATCTCACGGTTGTGAACTCGAGCCCCAGGGTGGGGTCTGCACCAGGCGTGGAGCCTGCTTGGGATTCTCTCTCTCCCTCTGCCCTTCCCCCACTTGCATACACTTGCTCCCAAGCTCTCTAAAAAAATAAAAAATAAAAATATTTCCTCTCAGGGTGACTGGGTGGCTCACTGGTTAAGTGTCCAACTCTTCATTTCAGCTCAGGTCATGATCTCATGGTTAGAGAGTTCAAGCCCCACATCAGGCTCTGTGCTGGCAGTGCAGAACCCGCTTGGGATTCTCTCTCTTCTTCTCTCTCTGCCCCTCCCCCACTTGCTCTGGCTCTCTAAAATAAATAAATTAAAAAAATATTTCATCTCATTTTGTGGCTGTTATCCCAGAGAACAGAAAACTATATTTAATGATACCGATTAAACAGTATTTAATTTTACGTATTTTTCTCATTACAACGTATCCTGCAAAGAACATCATTTTACATAGACCTTGTTTCCCTGACCACTTGAAAATGATCGCAAACGAAAATTAAAACGTCAGAAATTAGCACGTTTAAAATTGTGATCATATAATGGCAGATTTTCTTCCCCCCCTTTTTCCTACACCGCTAATCTTTCAAAAGAATACAACAGTCCTGGGTCGCCTGGGTGGCTCAGTCGGTTAAGCGTCCGACTTTGGCT